CACCGAGCCAATTCTTGTGAGACGGTTATAGTTTTAGTATTAGTGCTTGTATTATATCGTCGTTAACCTCGTCTGGTTAACTAGCCGGTCCTAAGCCTGGATTAAGAGGGAAGGTTGGGCATAGTGCTAGCAACCCTACTCCGGAAAACCAATCCAATCGCTAAAGAAACTTCAAAGCACAAAGAAATACAAAAATTCAAACAAACTTATTCCCTGCTGGAATCAGAGAGACGAAATGAAGTCGGTTGGTGAAAGCCTTCGGGAAGCCAATCGGCCGATGTGTCTTCTCTTCTCTCGATGAAAGCGAAAGTAAAGATGGGGACATGGAATGTCCGCACCATGTATGAACCTAGCAAGTCTGCTCAGATTCCCAAACAGATGAGAAGATATGGTATAGAAGTACTTGGAATCTGTGAAAGCAGATGGAATGGAAGTGGACTCTCCAAACTTTCAACTGGGAAGTCAATAATCTACTCCGATACTGTCACCCAGATGACAACCACGAGCACACTGAGTTTTGGAGTGGCTATCATGATTTCCCCAAGAACATCGAAGGCTGTTATGCAGTGGGAACCAATCTCCTTCTAGATCAGGATCATGACAGCAAGATTTAACTCAAAAGGAAGGAAACTGACAAGCATTCAATGCTACGCAACGCACATACAAATAATGCAGATCAAGAGAAGGAGGAATTCTACAGACAACTGGAATCAACAATGGATAATACCTCAGTTGGCGACATCAAAATTCTAATGGTTGGGGCGACATGAATGCCAAACTCGGAGCGAACAACACAGGAAGAGAAACAATCATGGGTCGAGAGGCACTCGGTGAAGTGAACGAGAATCGAAAACTGTTTGCAGAATTCTGCGCATTCAACGGTTCGGTGATTGAAGGCAGTGTGTACGAACACAAGGATATTCACAAAGCGATATGGATTCGATTTCATCAGACACCAGGACACACTAAAGATCAGATAGACTTCATCTCAATGTGAAGAAAGCGGAGACGCAGCCTACTGGACACAAGATCACAAAGGGGAGCAGACGTAGATCCACACCATTCACTATTTAGTCCAAGAAACCTAACTTCAAAATCAAGGTGAAAGCCTTCAAAGAAGCTGGTGATGATACACCACAGTTCAACACCCAGAACAGAAACTTCACTGAAGGACGAAACTACAAAGGACATCTTCACGTCAGACATCAGGAAAGAATGGGAGACCTTAGGCAACACCCCGAAGGGGACCTGCGTGGAAGAACACTGGAACTCTTTGAAAGAGATGTGGAAAGAAACCTGCATAAGCTTATTAGGAAGGAAGAAGACAACGAATGGATCCCAACGGACACATGAAAGCTGATAGAGCAGGGAGAGGAAGATGAAACAGTGCAGGGATGAAAAATGAGAAGAAGAACTGAATACAACGTATAAAATACTGGACAAAGAAGTGAAGAAGAGCGCGCACAAAGACAAAATACACTTTCACGACACATTGGGAAGTGAAGCAGAACAGGCTGCAGGTAGCAGAGACAAAGACCTGACAACACTATATCAAATAACCAGGTTACTATCTGGAATGGAAGAGATCAACGCAGATGAAACCAATGGAAGATAGTGAAGGAAACCTAGTTACAAATAGAGGAGAAACAATGGGCTAGCCACTTCAAAAAAATCTTGAATCGACGCCACCACCTGCAACTCGTCCACAAATAACATCAGAAGCCCACTCACAGAATTACCAGTGAACACAGGCCCTCCAACAAGAGCAGAGATGAAGTCCTGAATGCTAAAGTTACTGAAATCCAGGAAAACGGCAGGACCAGATGGAATTACGCCAGAAGCACTGAAAACAGACGCACAGAAAACGGTGGACAGGCTCATATCACTGTTGCAGAAGGTTTGGAAGGAAGGGAAAGTACCTGCAGATCGGAAGAAGGGCTAACTTGTCAAATTCCCAAAGAAGAGTGACTTAAGTCTTTGCAAGAACTGGTGCAGAATCATGCTCCACCTCAAGCAAAATATTAAGCCGCATCATCCTGGAGACACTATAAAGGTGCGCTGGATCCAAAATTACGACCGGAACAGGCTGGATTCAGGAAAAACAAATCATGTGCGGACCGAATTGCAACGCTAAGCATCATCATAGAACAGAGCGTAGAATAGGAATCAACTCTCTGCCTTAACTTCAGCGACTTGAAAGAGGCCTTCGACAGCGTCGACTGACAAGTGATTTGGCAGCTGCTGCTTCAACACTACGGAATACCACAAACGTTTTTCAACCTTATTCAACAGCTGTATGAAGACGCCATACGTCACAATGGAAAGCTCAGTGACGCTTTTGAAGTGTAGACAGGAGTAAGACAAGGCTGCTTACTATCAGCGATGATCTCCCTGATTGTGGTCAACTGGACTGGATTGGATTATGCAGCAAATCATGAGAATACGGACATACGGTGGACCGATGAAAAGACCTGAGAAGATTTGGATTTCGCCGATCATGATTTATGTCTAATATCTTGTTGCACAAACTCGAAGATCTACAAGCGAAAACCAACAAGCTGGCAGAAGAGACAGGACAGCGAAGATGGAACTTCTTTCGGGTGAACGTAGAGAAGAAAAAGGTGATGAAGATATCCAACCAACAACAACAGGTACCAATCACCATGAACGGGGGAAACCTAAAGAAAGTAGTCTCTTTCACAGACCCAGCCAGGCAAGGCGGCATCGTTTCAACTACGGGCGGCACAGATGAGGATGTCGTCAACAGCTGCCGCCTACGCTCACTCGATACTGAAGGTCAGATGGCCACAATAATAATAAACAACAAGGAACTCTGACCCGGCAACGAACCAATCAGGAACCTATCGCCCAACAAATATGCAGAAGAGGGCGGAGATGGATTGGGCATACACTGAGAAGGCCGACTGGGGACATCACGCGTCAGGCCAGGTCCTCGAGTGAAACCCATATGGGAAACGAAGAGTTGGGCGTCCGAGGGTGATACGGAGGAGATCATATGACGAAGAAATGAAAGCTTCTGGGCAGTAGTGGAGCCAGGTTCAAAAGATTGGAGAGAACAGAGTGAAATGGAGACGTGCTAATGAAGCCGTATGTTCCACTAGGAACCTAAGGGACAAATAATAATAATTATACCGTTGTTGATTGGACAGAATTGATCGGCCTCTATTAGCATATGGGCTTCTAAGCGGATTCCTCGATATTACGCATCGTGGATTCCACTGCTAGCTGCTGTCCATCATTACTATATATAATTGAAACACAGGTAATATCGAGGCATCCGCGCAGGAGCCCATATGCCAATAGAGACCAATCAACGACGGTATAATACAAGCACTAATACTAAAATCAGTACTGTTATTTTAAACAGCGAACTGTCTACATATCATACTGGATGATGATTGAAGGTGAAATGAAAATTTGGACCGCGGCCGGATTCGAACCGGTCACCACCAGGTTTCAGGCCCGATGCTCTATCATCTGAGCTACGAGGTCCGACTGCTTACTAGATTTTTATTTCACTTCAATCACCATGGGTTTTGCCCGACTACCATGTGAATTCGTGACGCGTTACTACCGCTTGATCGTATTCACACCGGCTGCCTAGTCAGGACTTCTCATCCCAATTATAATCTAACTGAATTAGAATGAGAGCAGGAGCATCATATTTATTATCATTTTGACTATCTGAGATAACCGTAGTTTGGCAAAATAGTATTGATACTGGGTGATAATTGAAAGTCAAATGAAAATCTTAGATAGTGAAAATGATATCTATACATTAGGTATATTTCCCTTTGTTCTTGTCTTCACTCTTTTCACCCAGATACACGTTTCTACACTTCCATCTTGTCTTCGCCATTAATTAGTGGAGTCGGGAATCAACTATGAATTCGTTGAATGTTGATGGCTGACAGCCAATATTTGTGCATCGTCAGCCGCCATAGCCGTTTTCGAATCATAACAGAGACATATGTGATAATAGCTGTCGATAAACAGTAACTCATTCTGGACCATCAAACTGAAACATTATTCAACCCAGAAATTTACACTAACTTCAAACGTAACGATAGATAGTATTTCAATGCAAATATATGTGAGACAATACAGATTACCTGTATATCTCTACTTATTCCAATCACTTTTTTGTTCTGTCATATGTTAACAGAAAAGAAATTACAAAGTTTGACCACCAAAAGAGCCTCTACTCTCGTCAATACATTTTTGTTATGGAATTGCATAATATCTATTACGTCAGGTATTGCGACTTTATTCACAGGCAAGGGACTAAGACAGTGTCATTGTAATTTTAGTAATACGATAATCGAACACACACAAAAAGCAACCATGTCAACTGTAAGAATACATTTGATATTTCACAGAATATATGAAGCAGACAAAAGCAAAGTAAAGCAGTGACCAAAACTAAAACAAAGTTAATATTAGAGATATTGTTTCGAAAACTATACACATCCTTAATTCAATAATTGCTTCATAAAAGAGGAAGTGTTACATTGCACCATTGAAAAAAAATGAGAAAATCGAGTGCTGAGATAAGGCAAAAAGCAAAGGAGCTTACAAAAGTCTGTCACCGAATAATTAAAGGTAATACAATGGAGGATCATAAACGCTGAAATGAAGTTGAACAAACTACACATGACACTTCGGATCTCTGTAAACTGAATATAAAGCTAGATTCGAATTCTTCATGTTTATGATACGAAAATCAAAACAATACCATCGCTTACGAAATCCTATAAAGCATTACATACTTGAATAAATTAGACCAGTAGTCATTTGAAAAATTGAAACTGTAAATATTAAATCAAGTCACTGAATATTTAGTGGGTACGGATTAATGAGAACTAGTAGAAATCCAAATTCAGATGTAAGATCATGAATACAAACCTACTAGAGTTTGATAGGCAATGTGTATTCATAGAAACGCAAACATGGAACATGATGTTCATAAGACAAGTACATCAAAGGCAACAACATTTTGACTTTTTTGATGATTTCGACGCAGGATTAGGAGTCTTTTGATTGATTTGATGCACAAGGTTGTGAAATATCTAAAATAACAATAAAATAAGCATAGATAAGTTTTCACAATATGCAAAGATTCACTCAGCAGAGATTCCAATATGTGGAAAGTATATAATGATTTTGTAAAAGAAATTCCAAAAAAACTAAATTACAATTATTGTGAACAAACATTGAAGGGGAATCTCGATAATGATCCACCTGAAAACGTTTGGCGGACATTTATTACAAATACACTTTAGATCTAGTCTGCAACTACATCTGGTTGTAGGGAATGAAGTCGTTTAGCAAAATGTGTAATTCACTCACCCAAAACCAAGATGCTGATCACTGGTGGTATAGTAGGCCAGATTAAAAAAGCTACGATAACGAATTCATACCACTTATGGCGACAGTATTTAGAAAGAAGAACCCATCAGTATACAACTGTAAGATATTTTAGACTATGCGTCGAAGATTCTTCCACGACTAGTTATCAGAAGTTTAAACATATTACGCTGGAGAACTATCAGATAACTGATGCTGGTGAGAAACATCTTCAGGATATATTAACGGATTCACAATGAAATTACTGAAATGAAAAGGAAGTACAAGGATGCACCGAAGATATTAAGGCAGGAATGTAAAAACATAATTAAAGTAAGCAACAGGCTAGATCGATAGAATGTTAACACATTATACCACTGCAATTAAGCTACAAAAGTTATCATAGTAGGTTTTGTTTTATTTCATTGAAGACGTTTATGTAGCTTTTTACAAATACATTTAAAAAAAAGTGAAACTGCTTAAGCCCATAAATTCTTAGCAGTTGCCTAGATTAAGAAAGCTAAGCCATCTAACAGGTTAGACATGTATCAAATATCAGACACCACTCCAAAACAGATAACTATCATAGAAGTGAACACAGGAAAAACAATAACGTAAACAGAGTAAGATACATTACTGAACTTCAGTAATCAATACAGAGCACAAAAATATCAGGCAATGAATGTGACAAAAGATTTGTACGTTGAGCAAGAATATCAGACCAAGAAACACGAAAACGCAATACTTCACAAGTGTTCTCATAATATAATAATGCCTGAGATCAGGAAAATTCAAGCCTCACAAAGACATCAAATAAACTGCACCATTTGAAGGTGGATAGCGATAATCTCTTTTTGGGGATAAAGTTCACAATGTACAGTAACACCACTTAACTGACCAATTTTTTGAGGTTGATTAGTTGCCTAAAAAAAGTGCTCTTTACATCGCTTTAAAGGTGGTTAGCAGATGGGCAGGCAAATAGCAAATCTAACCGACGTCTTAGCCTCCATGAACATCAAATAAAACACAGAATGGATTCAAAGTTAGTTGATACACATGTAAGATGCTACGGATGGAAAGGATACATAAATCCGTCACCACAATCAAATGCGTCAGTGACAACCATGAATAGGCCTGATCTTACTCTACATTGACTGCTGGATACATTCCACCAACGACCGAGGAGAATACCGTAGGTAGTACGACAACCACTTGAAAGTGTTTCCATCAAGAGTAAAAGAGAACCTGGTTTCATGAAGGTGGTGTGATGGTCGACTGTCTACTAAGGACTGAATGTGTTGCGTAATACTTAGCTCTGAACTGCTGTATAGCTGTGAAGCATGACTGTCAACGGTGTTCGTTAAAGCTGTATACTTAACCTTCCAACCGCCTGTTCTAAGAAATAATCACGAACCCATCCTTTCCGACGAGTCACACTGATCATAGTATTCTCCTTTCCAGTTTCCTTACCAAAGCCTAAATAACTGCCGAATATTACCCAATGCTAATACCTTAGTCTTTTCATTTACCTTCACCATCTAACATTGCTCACGGTCAATGCGAAAACTCCTCAACCAATTTACCTTTGCGTTGCTTTCACTTGTCATTGTGGTCAGAGTCATCTGAGTTGAATCTTCTCACATAAATCGGTTCGGATAACTATGTGGAAATCCACCGGTTTTTGTTCATTCCGGGGTCGTTAGGTGTTGGAAGTAAAACTCACTAGAAGTAATCAGTTTAATGGACTAGTTGTCGACACAATGTCAACACCCTGTAGGTATCATTACTAGGCGACACTAGAACACTATGATGGTTGCAGCAGCAATCTTTCCACAACACTACTAGGGTGTTGTGAAATCACCAACTGTTAAATATCCCTTATCGAGTGTTAGGTAAGCAAACAAGCCAGTCGATAAAAAATCTGAACCGTTGTTTGAAACGAGATGTTCACGTATCTTCTAAGTCAAATCAACGTGTATCTGACATAATAGCTTTTTCAGAAGACGAATAGAGTGGATCCAATCTTAAAATGACCTACTGAGAACACGATACCAATTCCTGAAATCATAACACTACTGACCTGATAGTGTGCCCAGTTCCAAGTTCTTAACCCAGATTTATAAGATATATTTAACAGGTGTTTCATAGAATTACTGAAAATTACTCGGTCGTAATTGTGTCAATGCATTATTGCTTTAACACAAGAAAAATATACAGCATATTTTCTTACAATATGCATAATTACTACTCTTTTTTATATTTAGCATTACACAGTGTTGATAAGTGTGACTATGTGAATTGATACTCTGTTTCGGTCAGTTTTATTCGCATATTGCTCGGTTAAAATGCGATACCAGACATGAAACTGGTTTACCAAATTATTTATGTATCTTGAAGGGGTTGAAGAAAATAATTATCGGACAAATTATAATCAAAATCTTGGTTGTGTTCTCTGGGCTGAGTAGTTTAATCGTGAGACTTCCTTTGTCTTTCACAACACGTCATAAGCACTAACTTCAGTATGAAGATAAATACACACTTGACTTTCATATCTACCGCTGAGCACTCGCAGATCTAACAGCCGGTCATTTTTTGAGACCAGTTAGGTGCAAACATACACATGCCCATACTAACATGTAGTCGAAGTTCGAGCAGGTACTTCGGAAACAGCGGGAACACTCCACCAATGGCTTACAAAAATATGACCTGAGTTTGTCGGTCTGATGTTGACGAACCTCAAATGAGACAGTGTCTCTTTTTATGTTTAAAGTTAGTACTGACCAGAAGCATGAGATTGTTAGAATAGTACTGCAAGAGTTGACCACTTGTTTTTTTATTGGCATGGGATACTGTGGATACCTCCAGGATTTAGCTTCTCTACTTATATGTTAAAGTCCTCTGCTACTACGGTCATATCTAAACATTTTGATTTACAAAGAGAAACTGACTTCTGGCAGAACTCATCCTTCGTATCCTACTAACCAGTGAGCGTGTAGACCAAGAATACGAATAGGTATCGGCCACTGTTACGACTTTTTCCAGATCAGTCGGACAGCACACAGTCGGTTGTTAACAGGTATCCAGTCGAGAAAAGGGCTTTCTTCTAGACAACTTAATGTGATTACCTACGTCATAGTTCACACGGGATAGTTATAGAATCTCCAGACACTCGCAAAATGAATCTTCAAATTCAATAAATCTCCAAAGTGAATGGCTGCGCTTGAGTTGCAAGTGCGTCTTAGAAATACGGCATGCCTCCGTGGCTCGAGATTCAAGTTTTGGTAAGAGACACCTGCTGTCTGACTTGATACAGGTTTCTGAAGTTGACAGCTTCAAAGTGAAATTGGCATTGTGGTTTCAGGAGACTAGGGATAATGTTTTTGTCCGCTTGGATCATTATCAATGATTTTAAGATGGAGGAAACAATAAAGGAATCAGGATAAGAATAAGGAAATGAAGGTAAAGGAGAAGACATAGATAAGAAGGTTATAGTTCGATCTGGGGGCGAGACAACCATTGAAATGACTGACAAAATCAACGTAGAATTTAGCACACGAGTGTGCTGGCTTTATTTGCTAGACTTCATAGTAGTACACAAAGAACAGATGGACAGAAAAAGTGATATCAAAGCAGACTAAGTTGTGTGAGGGAATTAGCAGTATGAGGATAACGGCTAGTGCAAATATCCAAGCTTTAGAAGACGTGAAAGAGTTCATACACTCGCGCCCTTGTGACCAATTTTCAGCCATGTCACTGATTTCTATCGTCTCGGGGACCCTAACCAAACAGTCTACATCTCTCCACATGATTCGGACCAACAGCAAGAAACTTGATAGATTGGTGTCAGGTCTTGGTGTGGCCACACTGAACTGTCTTTCAACATAATCCAACACTAAACAGTACCGCCATCACTTTAGTCAGAACAACTTCCTGCCTCCATTATTCAAAAACTCAGGTGGGAAACTGTCAGGTCCTGCTGCTTTGTATCGTTTCAGGTTCGAAACAGTTTTCTCAACTTAGAGGAGAATTGAAGGATGAACATTTACTTCCCACTAAGGTTCTGACTGACTGAATGTTTGGCAACTGAAGCGTTGCTGAGGGCCAGTTGAACTGAGCTTCAGTGTTCTGGCCAATGTTCTAGCCAACTTTTCTGGGAGGTTATCAGCGTCCCATTCTTTTCAGTGATGATTCCACTCACCATCGTCTTCTTCTTGCCGGCATCCTTAATAAGCCTAAGGAATTGGTGAGTATCTCCCAACGCTGGTGCCTTCTCCATCCCTCTCAATTTCCCCAACCACCAGCCTGCTCACGATTATTGCGAACACTCTTATTCAATTTACGCTTAAGCTGCTTCTGCCCTTCATCGTGGTAAGAGCCTGCTGGAATCAGTCTTTTCATATCATTCAGTTCACATGAGGTTGGGGAAATCCAGTGACGTTTGCTAACCTTCGGGTGTTGGTTACCAATCGTCTTCATCACTATTTCTACGGTAGACAATATCACTGTAGGTTTCCTCAGGATCAGTATTACTTCAAATAGATGCCTAGTTGACTCATCTCTAAATGCGTACTTGGTGTCCTCATCTACCAGTCGAGTATAGATAAGCCTCACTTCCGTCTGTCTCCTGAGGCCAGTAAGACGCAGACATGCAGGCCCGTATTACCACGTGATCAGAGTCCAAACTGGTACTACACAAAGAGTGGCGATCCTCCACCCATCTTCAATGATGGTTTATAGCAATGTGGTCTGTGTCCATTAGTGGTTTGATGTCAGCAGACCCCATGTGAGACAGTCTCTCTCCTTATGCCTAAAGTTAGTGTTGGCCAGAAACAAGTGATTATCAGACCAAAACTGCAACAGATGATCACCGTTGTCGGCTTGCTGGAATAGAATTCCATAAATACTACCGAAATGCCTTTTCGAATGACTCAGCTTCCCCACTTGAGTGTTAGTCAGTCACAAGCCATTGTGACTACATCTGAACATTTTACTTTCTGTAGTAAAATTGACAGCTCATCGAATTCATCCTTTGGATCATCCTAACTGCAGTTGGTGGGTGAGTAGGCGGAGATTACGAACAGGCATCGCCTAGTGTTACGATCCTTTCTGGTCCTTACAGATATGTTAAGTCAAATAGCACATACACGCCTATTGACTGGTATCCAGTCAAGAAGTGGACCTTTCGCTCTACAACTCAATGCTATGTCTTCACCAAAGGAGCCTTCCGGATACTCGTAAAGTGAATTTTGAAGACTCACTGCTATGACCAGGTCAGAATTTATTAATCACACTCGGTTCTTGTATAAATGTTTCAGAGACAGAATACAACCACGGCTAGAGATTCTAAAGTTTCGGCAAGTGATGCTTGTAGTCCGATCTGGCATAGAGTTCGGACGTTGAAAGCTCCTACATGAAATCGATGGTGTGAGGGGTCATAAGATACTAGGAATGAAGTTTTGATGGCTTTGGTCGTTGACAATGGCCGTACAGTGACGGGTTGAATAAGGAGTAAGAGGCTTAATATAAGTATCAGGAAGTGGATGCAAAAGAGGAGACAGAGTTAAGGAGGATAGGCTAGGTTTGACTGTCTTCTATGCTACCAGAGGTGTGCGGGTAGTTGGCACTTGTCAGTCGCCCACACCGTGGAAGGTAACTTCTCCTTTAGGTATTTGAAAGAGAAAATGATTTGTCTACAAAGCCCGTGGGACGTCTGCTTGAGTTATTGTTTTAGAGAGAACTCACCGTCAGCACCGGAAGATTGAGGCTAAGAGGTGTGTGCTATTTCAGTGGTGGACCTCATCTAAACCCTTCCTTCCCATAAAGAAGGGAGTATCAGCATGGTACTGCTGGTCACTCAAGGGAAACACTTTACTGCTGTTACACCCCATCCAGCTAGAAGCAGTCCGACTTCGCCCTCAGATTCCATTTTAGTGTTGCAATTTACACTACAACAGTAAACGCTTTTGGGATTGTCATCATTCGACAAATCTTTATGGTCAGGTAAGGACATTTGACAGAATACATGGAGACAGGTTAACTTGAGGTACTTTTGGGTTTTTCACTATCTAATCCCAGTTTGGATGGAAATAACGCCAGTTCATGAAATTTTACCATTAACATGAGCCGTACAGAAATTTGAAACGTAGATTTGTCTTATCTTTGGAAGTTCAAATGTTGGTGTTGCTACTTCAATCTCCTTTCCTTTGCCTTTATGACCTAGTTCATTCAGCACAATAAATAATTCTGTCTCACGAGACACTTGCTAGCTTACCTTCGTCGCGTTAACAGAATTTTATCGGGTGACTTTAGTCATTTAATGCAGTGACAAGTATATATTTAGCCGAATTAGGATAAGTTCTACTCTATGCAGTTATTTGATATCATCGGCTAACCTGCGTTTACATCACCTAGAACTGGGGATTGGCAAACTATAACTTTAGTGTTAAACATTAGGGTGTTCGGTCTTGTGCTAAGTAACTGCAATCATTTCACAAGACCGTAGTGTTTAATCTAAGATAATTGAGCAGTTTCAACAAGTTTATGACTAGACTAAAATATACCAAGCACGAAATTAAGGAGCCATTTCCTCAAAAACTAGGAGCTTTCTGGTGTATGACTTCCACTCTTTTTGGTCATTTCTTTCCTACAAATTCTTAGTTCTGGTTGTTACCACTATTTTTTCATGACACTAGTTATACAGTGACCGCTACAAAGTTTAAAAAATGTAACTGATTTTAACTGGATATCAAATTTTGTAACCCGGAAGTCTAGTGTACGAATATGGTGACAAATATCTGACTGTAACTGTTGAACTGGTGCAATACTTACTTACCCCCAAAGCTAGAACTATGTAAACTCCACATTATTTCACATGCAACAAAAAAAAATTCTTTATGATAATTTTTTTGTGAAATTCAGCTGAAGTCCCCTCGCTTGCAATTAGCCTTTTAAGGAATGGTAAGATTATAGCTTCACCCTAACTGCTTACGAAAACTAGTCACACCAAAATAGCTACTCGAAGAGATAACTCGGGAGATTTTCACATCAGTCACAGAGCATGATCTTTGAACTTAACGAACAAAACATAGGTAATGTTTTACGCATGAAGACATACATTATAACAAACAGCTCTTATATCGATGAAACTTAGATATCAATATCTGAAATCACAATTTTGATAGAACACTTTCCAAAAACTGCACTCAATGGAATACTAAAAGCCAGACGGTACTAACCTCATTCACATTTAGTTTCGCTTTGGCACTAGTTTCCATGAACTGGCAGTTCCATTCACGAGCCAGGTTTTGGCCCTGTTCTTTACCTACACTTCTTTCGTCTTCCAAGTCACATTTGTTTCCAACTAAAACCAGTGGGAACTCGTCTACATCCTTGACCCGGAGAATTTGTTCTCGTAGGTCAATCAGGTCAGTAAATGTGGCTTGTGAGGTGATTGAATAGACCAACAAAAATCCCTGTCCATTTTTCATGTAGAGATCTCTCATTGCTGTAAATTGTTCCTATATATGGATGACGGTTATGAGGATAAAAAGGTGAAACTTGCAGTTCCAGCTGTATCTAGAATTTCGAGCATGCATTGTTGAGAATCAATTTCAACTTGTTTGCGATAACTGTCCTCAATTGTTGGATCATACTTCTCGGCAAAAATGCCCTGCACAAATTGAACAGTGAGGGCGCTCTTACCGACGCCCCCACTACCAAGGACTACAAGCTTATATTCCCGCATATCCCGCGGTTATTTTGAGCCTTCCGCCAGAACCATACAATCTTAAACAAGGTATCTCGTATATTGAGTAATTGTATATTCATTGTATCTTTTTGTTCATGACTATTAGGAAGTCTTAACCGGAACGTATTTTAATTTGTTTGTAAGTATTGTGTTAAAGAGGTTCAAACTGTTTGAACAGTTGTTGATAGAATAGAAGGAGCTTTCGTTTAACTGAATTCCGCATCTGCAATCCATGGATCATTACTTCTTAATGTTGTTAGCTAGCACGCAAGTAAGGAGAAGTCAAAAGGTGGCGGTTAAATATAAAACTCCAGTTAGTTCTGAGTGGATCACAGCTACATCTCGAGTAGACCTCAAGGCAGCGTTTAAAGTATTCGGATGAAATGCTCTTGATCACTTCTGAGATAGGAGCATTCCAGGGCCTTAAAAACTCTAAGGGAGTGGAAGTTGTGACTGAAATCTAACCTGTTATGTTCCAGGCTTATTTTCTGTATGTATCCTCTAAGATTAGCGCCACAGCCAAGATTCCATTGGTGACGAAGTGGGCGTCCAAGTGCGGTCAGGATGTGAGCCGTTATCAAGTCTCCTTTTGGTCTTCTGTACTCGAGAGAATATGGATCAAGCCCAGCCGATCGTTGTGCATATGTTTTAGACCCAGTCTTGGAAAAGAATTGGTTGAGTGCTCCTGGTTACATTTCAAGCTCAATTTATCCTTCTGCTGAGAAAGGGGGAAGACGATAGTCCCGGACTCCATTTGAGGCCACATGAAGCTGGTGATAATTTAGTGAAAACGTCTGTGAATGAATTGTTGGAAAATTCATCCTAAGGTCATCAACGCAAAATTTCCAGAAATTGCGTTTTCGCCACATTTGGCATTGAACCTTTTGGTCTTCGGGGACTAAAACGCCCAAATCCTTCTCCGTCAGCGACGCTTTAAGTTCCGTGGCGCTGAGGCTACCTACAGGACATACATCGTGTTTTGCGTGTAACATTTTGCATTTTTCAGGATTAAGTGAGAGTGCGTTATTGACTACCCAGTTTTGAAGTTGGGTTGAGCTTTCATGTGAATAAGTATCTTCCTCACTTTTGTTTTCTCTCCGTAGTCTCAAGCGGTCGTCATAAAAAGGATCTCGGGAGAAACCTGTTGAGCCAAGTCACTTACGCATGTTAGAAAAAGAAGAGGCTCTGTTGTTGAACCCTAAAGAACCCCAATATAAAATTCTGTCTCCTCAGACATAGAGAAACTCATCCAAACTTTAAGTAAGCTACCTTTTGGATATGAAGACAATCAGTTATTGAACGGTGACCTGATCTTGACTAATTTAAACTTATCGATAAGACCGTCGTGGGCAACATGATCAAATGCCTTAGCATGGTCTAGATGAATAAAATCAGTTCGATCCCGAAGGTCGACGATACTGGGCCGTTTATCTATTGCGGTGGATAGACTAGCAATGCAGCAGTACACTTTCCAAATCCTTGTTTCTTGGTAGCGAAAACGTTAATGGTCATGGGTTGGTCATTGAGTCCATTATAAGTTAACGATGCCATTACTTTGGAAGCTACGGATAAGGGCCTCGCCCTTGAGTTGCTTCGTTGACCTCCTTTGACCCAATTTTCAAGTGTCCGGCACATTCACTTGACCTAGAGAATCCTTGACTAACTTGCCTAAAGGTTCAGCCAATATTGATGCTGCTCCTCAAGATGATGCCGTATGGATTTTATGTGATTCCCGAGAGGATTTTTGTGAGGGGTAAGAGTACTAGCTCAACATGCAAGTTAACCACCAAGAGTTCCCCTCAGTTTGATGGATATTCGTCAACTTTTGAGGAGGTGGACAACGAAGAAAAATCCGCTCAGCTGCTTCACCGTCATTACTAGTCAGTCCATCGGGCCCCAGTAATTGAATAAACTATCACTTCAGCCCACCAGAGAGATGCAGCATGGGGGAACAGACCTCTTGGGTTAGAAACAGTTGTGTTTGTAGGCCTAACTTGACGCCATGGCCGGTCATCCCTCATTGTCTTCATACACGAGTTTCTTGTTTGTATGAATTGTCTACGTGTGTCCAATTACTTTCGTGCTTGGCCCAGTGCTGTGTGTTCAAGCTAAGTAGTTTGTGAGCGGATTAACTGATTACCCTGGGTGACTTCGACCACTTCGGGATTGAAAGTGGAATGGACCAGCTAATGGAGCACATAACTTTGTCAAGTATGAATTTCCGACAGGTGTCCACATCTTGCCACACATGGTCAACTTCCCAGTCTGTCTGTTTAGACGTTACCCGAAGAGCCGGAGTGTTATGTTGTCTGAAGTTCCGACGGAGCTCATTGAAAGGTCTAGTTAGATTGGTTTTACAGGCATACTGGAAGGCTCAAGCTATACCGTACTGCGTTTAAATATGTGAGGCTATGCACAATCCATTAAGCTGTTCTTCAAGGAAGAGCCATACCTCTGGTCGAACTTTGCAGTAAATTATTAAAGGATTCTTCTTGTGATTTTTGATCAGTCCCTGCGTATTTGGCCGAACAATGACAATATTCAAGGGAGATCACTGAAACAACCCAAAGAATTACATACTGGTGTCCTCCTTGTCGAAATATTCAGGAGTATCATACTTGGCTATTTGCGATGGTTTGGGAGACCACCTTATGAAGATCATTTCCGCGCCTTGACAACACGGATAGAAAAAACAGTAATTCCGCACACCGTAACAGATATTTAGACCATCACTTTAGGCGCTGAGGCAGAATCGGTAATTTTTAATCCAGATTGCCCTAAAGCGCCTGATCATGTTAATCACAACCGCCTTACTTGTAAAGTGAAGCTAATCTGGAACGGCCCACCGCACACTGAATGGCAGCAATCATATCTAGTCGACTATCACCCCGGAGTTTTACTGAGATTTGCCACGTCTGAATAGATAAAATGCCCAACTGGGGTTCCGTAAGGCCAAGTCCTCCTCTTTTTTAGATATGCATCAATAACCTGACTCTGAAAATTCCTTGCGAAGTCCTTATTCTTGCGGACGACGGGATACCATGAGGCAGAATCAAAGTGTCATGCAGATAAGTTTTCCCTGTAGGTACATTTCAACCGGCTTCAAAACTAGGCAAGCATTGATAGGTTTCAGTTTTACTGTAAAAAGGCAGGGTGGTATACCGAGGGCATGACACGCGACGTACATGAAGACTCAATGACGCGGAACTACATGAGCCACTAAGCAAGAAAAACTTGAGTGTTTCAATCCCCATTAACCTACAGATCTTATTTTATATAGATAGCGATGCATAACACGCCAACTTTGCGATAAAGACTCCTAGACGGCCTTTTGAACATTTCTATGGCAAATGTTTCTAACAGATTTAAAACAACTTCATGTGGCCTCACAAAAAGTTCGGAATTATGGTCCTACGTCTGCATTGCGAATGAGATAAGTCTGGAACGTACCCACAGCAAGTCATCACAACCTGTGTGGGGACTTATATCCGGGATGTGCACGGGACGACTGGGATAACTCTGTCTGTATACTCTGCAATAAAGAATGCCTGAATGGTTATGGCGTATGGTATCCTAAACACTCATGAACCTGCAGCCAGCCGCTTATTTGGCCCTAGTTGTAACACAATTCTCAGAAGAAACAGAACTTAGGCCTTAAATATGGCAGGTTAGATTTCGTGTGCAACTTCTGTCAAGCCAGCATTCACCCCTTGCAATTCTCCACCTACAGTAGTGAGCCAGGCCATTTCCTTAGAGTCCGCCAAGCCCCAGCTTAATGCCTATCCATGGTGTGTACGTGATTTGAACCGGAGGAAACCTGACCTTCCCATCTGGTAGCCATTTTTTGGATTTGTTTTGTACATAGGCTAAAAGCCAGAGGAATTTAGGTCTGCTGCTTTCAATCGTGGTGCCCAATTAAATGAAAGGTTATGTCTGGGTACTAACCTTTTTTGGCTTTCCCAAGTTTAATTTCGACTCCAACTTCTTACCGTTAGAATGCTACACTAGTCGGCCTATTCTGATGTCCATGATCTTGTTCCGTACAAAATTTTGTTTTGCCTTGGACTTATTAATCAAGCTGCCTGATAATGCCTTCCGAAAAGTTTTGCACCAGTATTAGGTCGGATTTTCACCAACTAATTCATGTTAAAAGCCAGGCTCCATCTTTTAGGTATGACTTTCGCTCCAATTTCTGGTAGAAATTGCTCTTCAAGTTTCAAGGAGGTTCTGTATTATTGACTGAAAAAAAACGTTAAGGACTTTTAGTAGATGTTAGCCCTGGTTCTGCTGCCACGGTATTCTTCATCTGTCATAGAAGTGAATTTCTGGCTGTCGATCAAAAAACTCCAGCGACGAGATAACCTTTCCACTAAAAATTGAAATTATAAAACATTCGGGCCGTCACTAATACGGTTTCCCCATACTTTCGTACGACCTTTTCGCGTTTTCTGCCAATCAGCCGAGTACCAGCTTGCTTTCGTCCTGACATGCTGAGTCGGTCTTCTTGCGTGTAAAAATTGTAGATGATATCGCAAGACGCTACTGTGTGCTAAGCTAATTATCATGCTTAGAATGAGGCCTAGGGATAGGTACGTCCGATGTGCAGCTTCTGAACCCGCGTTCTCTTCAGTATTATATGTATGTAGACCCTTCCAAGAGCGCATTGTACTTTTCAGGATCATGTTACCTGATACTAGAATTATTCGGACCACACTACCTGGACACCGTATTGTTCACCGCTGGAACAGAATATTCTGAAGCTTTTGATAAGAATTTGGGCGTTGACTAAACCAAGCTAATGTACTTGAGAAGAATAAAGCCCTTCTAGGTATAACGACTGCATGCCTATCCTACCGTTATGGTGACAACCTCAAATTTGTCTCGTGTGAAGTTCGTCAAAAAGAATTATTGTGCACCACTTAAGTAGAGTAATAGGCACCACATGGGTGATTGCAACTATTCTGAGTTTCGATTGGAAAATCTTACATGTACGAGTT